ATGCGAGTACATCAGCGTCCCACCTCTCACCTCACCCCGCGACACCTGGGACAGGAGCGTTACGCACTCGTCATCCCATTCTTGCTCATCCTTCCTCCCTGCCCAAACTTGAGGGAAAAGCAGCCCGACATATGCGCCGGAAATCTCAAACTACCGGCAAGATCACTTCCGAACCCGAGTGCAGAACCGCCGCACGCGAGCAAAGCGGCTTCGCCTCCGCTCGAGCCACCGGGGATGTGCAAGGGAGAATAGGGATTCGTCGTGCGACCGAAGACGGGATTGTTGCCTGAGAAGGAAAGAGGTATAATAAGCACTGATCCGCATGGACGGTGGGAAGAGAGTGCGGGAACTGGGAAGCAAAGGGGCGAAAAAGGGTCAACGGTCCGAACTGGACCACAGTCATGCGGCTTCAGTCTGCTGAGACCACCACGTTTCCAAGTTTGCAACCTGACCAGACTCGACTCGATCGAAACCGTCCATGGTGAAGAAAAAAGGAGGGAAGGAGAATGTACACACATTCGTAGCTTAGCAGCGTTTGCGGGACCTGGGTATGGTAAGTATTGGAATATTTTGACCCCTGGGTGTTCAAGCGTGGAACATGTAGTACTCACATTTGTCTTGCAGAACACGATCCCTCCGGCGGCTTTGACGTGAGCTACGAGCTGTGGTATACTTCAGCATACGGGGTACTTGTTTTCAAGGCAAGAAGAAATACCGAGGCGTCTTCAGAGGTGGGCTTATAGGCTCGGCTTTCGAGGGTATGTTCGGCATTCGTTTGGAAGAACAGCAAGCGGCAGAGGCTTACCCGGTGAGGCCGATGGTGGTATCATATCCCTTCACATTAACTGTGCGGTCAAATCAGTTGATTCCATTAGAAGATGAGAGAATGTAGATTCAAGGCATTCAATGTACGACGGCGGGAGGCTTACATTGATCTTTGAACGACACAGGCAGCCCATGCAATGGTCCTTTAGGCTTTCCAGTCAGTTCGAACTCTTTGTCCAGGTCTCGCGCGATTTCGAGCGCTTCGAGAAAGAAAACTGTGAAGTTGATCCGCTGAGTATGCTGGGACAAAGAAGAAGAGAATTGGCACCTTCGGTGAGGCAGTTTGTCGCCGCGTGGGCATCGATCGCCCGGCGGATGTAAGTCGCGACAACGTTTTCTGCAGACCAACCCTCTCGCTTGCCGACGATGTTATCAACGATCTCAACAGCTTTACAAGGGTTAATTTCGGGGTGGACCGCTGGGTGCAGGTTACATACCAGTTGCGTTGAGAAAAGCAGCTGAGTAGGTTGTGAAGATCTCGTCGTACGCGACGAGAGCCTCTTTGCCGGCCTTGATGGCGGCCGCCCTGTCTGCTTGCTTCCTTTCGGCGAGTGACTTCCAGTTGCTATTCATGAAGTATTTCCAGAGCCCAAAACGGAGGGTTCGTAGGGAGGGAACACGAAAGGTGCATCCTAGAGAACAGTCCTTACATGTACCCATATGGTGGCTGTGTGTCCTTATATAGTCGTGATCGGCGCCGCCCGATTGATCACCGAGACATATAACCATGTGAGTGTATGCCGAAGGGAATAGGAGCTGAAATCTCTAACGAACAACGTGCTATGTGTCGTTGATTCTGCCGGACCTTCCAACCTCGTACGACGAGTCAATCTTCTCCAGCAAGTTGCCCTCGCTGGACCAGCATGCTTGCCGAACCATACATCCTGATGGACTGCAATGCTTCTTTCTCCCCTGTGTTGCTTAATTGTAATCCGGGTTCAAGGTTGTGCAATTCCAATCCGAAAACAGAGTTCTCATGCGAGTAGCCAACTGCCGTCTCTGATGTAGCAAGTTATAAGAGTTTCCAATCACATATGAGGGCGTGCTTCGCCTGAAACTGCTTGGACATCTCCGCGATGTGACCGTACTATATACTATGGCAAAGCGTACGAATGCGCAGTCCAAATCACAGATAACAAATAGGAAAAGAGCAAAAGGTTTACGGCAAGCACGGGCCTCCAGCGCGAACTACAGCTACCCACCGTGTCCCAGAAGACGACCTCGGAGGAGGCGTCCAGTTGCGGAATCTCTTCCCTGGCTGGAATACCACCATCCATTATCCTTTCATTGGCCACGGGACTTGCGTCCTGCGCCATAAAGGCCCAAAGTGTCGTGGGGGGCGGGGCTCGATCCAGCGCACTTTCGGTAATCCGTTGTGCATGATTACCCACCGCATTCCCTCATTGCGGCCATTACAGCCGATGCACTAACAAGCGTGAATGGTTTTTCTGTCTTCTTCATCTAACATGTCTACATCGTACATCATACCCACCACTAAACCTTCGTTATCTTCAACACCTCACTCCTTCACTTCCACTTCCACTCTATCTCCTCACCATCTCCCCCATGTGCAGAGGCGCTTTCATAGTCATAGAAGGTCTTGACCGCTCCGGAAAATCATCCCAATGTGCTCTCCTCCACACCCGTCTCTCCCTCTCCCACCCCTCAAAGCTCATAAAGTTCCCTGGTGTGCCCTCTCCCTCATTTCCACTCCTCCTCACTCACCCAATGCGCAGACAGGACAACACCCGTCGGCCAGATGATCGACGCCTATCTGCGCACACAGAACGACCTATGCAATACAATAAATAAATAAATATGTTTTATTACCATCCCCAATTAGTGGAAGCGCTCAATTCGGCATAACGCCGATCGGCTGGATTGCGCATTTGAAGGCTGTGTTGCCTCCTTGTATCTTGCCGTTCCGCCTATCGCTCCTTCACCACCGTCCTCACTCCTTCCCCTCACCACACCACGCGCTCTCTCTCTCTGCTCTTTCGTTCCCTAAGTCTTTATTCTTTATTCTTTTTATTTCGTCGCTCAAGGTTCTGGTAATCCATGGCGTCAAAAGCGGCTCACAAACGGGTGAGCATGCTTCTGCGACATCCGTATGGTGAGATAACGGCTGACATGTGTCTCCGACATCGCCTGTAGCTCACCAAAGAGTACCTGGCAATGCAGAAATCAGCTCCTCCGTTCGTCTGGGCATCTCCAGACGAGAAGAATATATTGAACTGTGCGTGACTACCCCGCATTCCTTGTGACTCACTGATATGGAGAACAGGGCATTACATCCTTGTATGTGACTCCACCGCCATCCTTCAGTATATTGTGTGTTGACATGCGGCAGCGAGGACCACCGGACAGCCCCTATCACGGTGGGGAGTACTATGGACTACTTACCTTTCCCTCCGACTATCCCTTCAAGCCTCCAGGTATCAAGGTTGGCATTCCACCACCTTGTATGTGTGACGGCCCCGGCTGACGGGAGTGATCCTCGACAGATGTTTACCCCGAGCGGACGATTCCAGCCGGACAAGAAGATCTGTACGAGCATGAGCGATTATCATCCGGGAACGTGGAACCCTGCCTGGAGTGTGGCTACGATGTGCGTCTTTTTTCTTCTCGCCGTTTTTGTACATCGTATGAATACAGGCTGGACATATAGTCTCACTGGTCTGTTGTCGTTCATGCTGTCGGATGAGATCACCACAGGGTCGATCACTACCACGGATCTGGATAAGAAGATGTTCGCGAAGAAGAGTCA